GATTTGATGTCTCAATAGTTCCACTCCATAATACTTCACATGGTGACATTGCACACAATTTCACATTGGTCAAAACCCTTGATCGGTCAGAACCCTTCGTGGGTAACCCTTTTTGAGAAGTTTGTTCGCTTCTAGAATCACCACAAATCAACATAAAAATTTTAATATGTTTATCCTTACTCGCAAGTTTTCTAGAAAACTTTCCAAAAGGTCACTCACTCTTAAATTGCTTCAAGTCAAACATACTTAACTATAGAGTTCTTATTTGATATAATTTACTGAAAAGTAGATGTATATATATTGTTGGTATAAGTAATACAAATTAATTCTTTTAAATTGTCATTAACTACACAGTCTCACACTTGTACAGATCTTTAGATCCCTCTCATTTTAGTGTATCTGGACTATTACAAGCCCACCAACTTCTATATGGTTCGTCCCCGAACCATACCGTACTAAGAGAGAGGACTTGCTCTGATATCATTTGTATCACCCCTTAGATCTAACATCTCAACGAATCTCTATCACGACACTTCACATGATGACATTTCCCACAACTCCTCATTGGTTAGAACCTTTCACTAGTCAAAACCTCCATGGGTAGCTCCTTTCCGAGACTAATCTCATAAATCAACACAAATTTTTTTAACATGTTTTGTCCTCACTCGCACACTTTCTAGAAAATTTCCTAGAAGATCACTCATTTCTAAATTGCTCCAAGCCAAGCACATTTAACGTACTATAGAGTTCTTATGTGATGAGCTACCAAAAAATAGATACATCTTGCTGATATAGGTAGTATAAATTAACTCCTTTAAGTCATCCTCAATCGCATAGTCTTACACTTGTACAAATCTCTAGATCCCTCTCATTTTGATGTGTTTGAGTTGTTACACAATTCATAAGATACAATACTACCAATTATTTTTGCATATTCAAATTAAGCAACACTAATTCCATCATATTTTTAAGATGAATGTTATGACCATATGGTTTTTTATCATGTACAACATTGAAACTATTGAATTTTTTTAATAAGTTTTCAAATATAATAAGCTTAACTTAGAAATAAACCATTTTCATTTTTTTTTTGTATTTGAATACCTAAAATCATATATACAAGTTTCTCTCAAGTCTTTCATCTCAAATATAGAACTTAAAAAATCTTTAATTTTGATCACCACTTTCAATAAGACATCAAATAACAACATATCATTATATGATACACAATTAGAATCAATCATTTTTACATAAACATGAGAATCAAGAGTGTTTTTGAACTTATTATATCATTGCTTATGCTTTTGTTTTAAACCATCCAATATAAGCTTACATACCTTGTGTTATTGTCTTGATATAATATAATCTTTTGTTTCTTCATGTAATTTTTTTTTTGTTAAAAAAAACTCCAATTAGGAAAACAATTTTATATCCATTTGGTGTATAACCATATTATGTATTGCTAATATATTTTTATTTTCTAAGTAAAGTCTTTGATAGAAAATCCAACCATAAATTTTTTTTATTTTTATTTTTATTATTATTGATCCATCATTCCTTTATTTTTTTGACAAATCACTTGATTTCATAAGCACCTTTTATTTTATTTTATACTTAATAACAAAACAACCTTTAAAGTAGCAACAATTTTACATTCACCTTATACATTTTTTATACGCATTAGTTGCATACGTTTGAGTATTTGATAGTGTATATATTTTCAATATTTTTATTATGATTAAATCTACAATTTTTTTCTCATCAAATTAATTAAAATGAATAATTGTTGATTTTCCACTTGATCATGCACAAAATTTGATATATAATAAATACCAAGTAAATTTGATCATACATTGTATAACAAACAATCATCACAACAAGATTATTAACATATGCAACTAATTAAAATACCAACATTACAAAACAACAAATCAAATTTTTTCCTAAATAGTCTTTTAATTGCATATTAGTTTTTTTTACCACATTTTCTCCTCATCTTTTTTCATAAACATCATGTAAATAATTTTACATAAAGCTCAAAAAATCTATTTGGCATATAATTAATGAAAATATGAAATACCAATAATTTTAGCAATTTTCAGTTAATTTGATTGTAGTTCCTACTACCTCATTGTTTTCTCAAACAAATTGTTGATCCATCTTCAAAGTATTAATTTAGCCTCAAGAATATCAACAATCTTTGTGTTTGTTGTTGGTTTCATCAAAGAATTTGAGTTCCAGTACATTAATCAAATCAATTTCATAATCAACAAATTCATTAGAACAATATAATAAAAAGAAATAAATAATTTTCTTTTAGTTTGTTAGAAAATATTAGTAGAAAATGAAAGAAAAATAATATTATATTATAACACTAGCCACTGACTTGAAAGCAAATTTCAATAGATCTTTTGTACAACCCAAAATTCAGTTTGCTTCCCAAGATTTACATAGCATCGTACTTGAACCCGTGCACTTGAGACCAAAACACGTAAGAGTCTCACAGACATTACCTAGAAGAATAATGAATATGAAGGAAAGTATAGGAAAAATATAAATTGTCCTAAGACTCACTCTATCACTTCTTATATAGTGTATAAAGAATCATTTTGTTGGTAAATATAATTAATAAAAAATTTTAATATTAATAATAACAAAATAATTAATATGTAAATAGTAATATAATAATTAATATGTTAATAATAATAATAATGAAATAATTAATACTTATATATCATTATTTTTATACTTACGACTTGAGGGATGAAAGTCAAAACCAACTTTTCTTAAATTTTCCTCCCCATCTTAGATAGAGAAAACTGTGAGTTTTGGATGATGAAAATGAGGATATACCTAAATGCTTTAAATATCTAAGAAGTAAAAAAAAAATTATTATATTTTTACATTATCAATTAATATCAGCATAATCTAAATAAAAATTCACAAAAAAAAACTAAAAAGATAATGACAAAAAGTTGTTTATTTACCGGTAGCTTACAAAATATTTTCACTAAAATTATGAACTCAAATCTCTGAAAGCAACAGCTTGTTGAAATATTTGTGTCTGTCACTTAACCATTCTCTTTATAAGTGTTATAGTAATTGAAATGATAATTATTGAATGAGGATTTTATTCTTTTACAGTGGTGAAATGTGCAGTTGATTTAAATGAAAACACTTGATAATATTTTATATTCTTATCGAGTCAAATCATAGGGAATCTCTGGATCTATGAGCACATAAGAATTTTCTCCCCTAGTTTATGTTTTTGCTCTAAATGTAGTTTATCTATCCATGATCTCGGTTTCCCATTTTATAGTATTTTTCGCTGGGTTCGTTGCTGTCGTTGAATATCCAATTGAAATAACGCAAGCCCGTATGTAGGTCAGCCTTTTCTGCAAACTCAAGGGACCCACCACCCCATAAGAATGCACCTTCTAGCCCCGGCAACGCGTGCTTCCACTCCACGTCCATTTCTCTCCATGTTCTCTTTTCTATTATATATTTAATTAATTAATTAACTAAATTAATAATATACATTTCTAAGAGAGAGAGAGAGAGAGAAAAGCTTAGCTAGCCTCACAACCATGTGATAAGGCCGAGAGTAGAGTACACATGGATCTAATTCCTATCCAATCCAATACGTATTATTATCCTTCCTATGGATTAGCGTACATGTATACCCGTAACGTATGCACATCCGTTTGTAAATTATAATGTAGAGGGAGCACAACCATGCATAATATATTATATTTACATTAAGATAGCATTAGCACCCACATGGCCAGTTAACATCCATAATCATTGCCACGGGTCTTCCCATCAAAAATAGCATATTGCACTAATTTTTGCATAGTACAGGTACGAAACATCCATAATTGAGGATTCACTCATCAATGCCATAGAATCGAACAAAAGAATTAAGGAAGGGATAAACCCATGATTTTGTGTCCCCTTTTTTTAATGTGTGAAGACTGAAAACCTATGGTTGGATTTGAGATCCTGAGGCCAGTTCGACCTGGACAACTACGAGAGATACCCACTCATCGTACGGTCAGGATCGAACTGTCGGCGGCAGAGAAGATGCCACCTTAAGCTCCTTCACATAGGCACGCTCACGCTTCCATTATACAATCACATAATATAATATAATATAATATAATATAATATAATCTGCACTTTTTTTTTATTGTTATTACTAAAACTGAGACAACTATTTTATGATGTAGAAATTTTAGGTGCATGTGATTCACCTCAGCAGGCTATGTATGCTGTTCTGTTGATGATTTGTCTTGAGCAAACGAAGGCCTTGTGATCCTCAACAATTATATATATTTTTTTAAATAATGCTAATAATACCTCTATTTGTTTATTTATTTATTTATTTATTTTCCTTTCTTTACCGTTAATTTAATATATCTGCATTGCTGGACCTGTCTCAGGCATCTCGTCCACAAAACTTGAATCACATTGGTCAAGCCACTGGGATTTGTTTGGCATGCCTCTAACCTCATGCAATAGCACCTTGGTTTCCGTGTCCTTAAGAGAGAATCTTAAATTCCACAACAGTTCTGTTATATTGCATAGTGTTCTATTTAATCCCCAACAGTATATACTGACCAGCCTGATGGGGAATGTGAGAGCATATTAGCAGAGTCTTCATCATATATTCATATTAAACAAGGTTGTCGCCTAAGTTGGGTTGAAACTTGAAAGCAGGACTTTCTTGCCTTTCCTCCTGAGATCTCCTTTTCTTCTCTTGTCTTCTTGTTCACCACAAAATTGTGGAGTCCTCCGCTAATTGAATTCTGGCAGGTTAGAAGCTATAATATTCCATTTATCATAATCTTTTCCGTTGGAACAATTCAGTGGTTTGAGTTTGAGTTTCCTATCTGTTAACTTATGTTTGGTTCTAGGAAGGTTCTAAATAACTAAATCCAATTTATGTTCCTGATATTATGCATATTTTTGTTTCATATTCTATATGTTATAGTTAAATGGATTTTGTCTTTGGAGGGTGGGGCTGAGTTCGTATAACTTTAATGAGCATGATACAAAGTTTCTCTATTAAGCATTGAAGATGATATGTTGATACATGTTTGGAATTTACATCATGTCATTGGTGTGATGGTTTAGTGTCTGGTTGCGATATTAGATTGTAGAGTGGGAATAAAACAAACAAATATAGAATCAGGAAGAACTTGTTCTGAAAGGTGAGACTTTGCTATCTCATGCATGAGGAATATGCTTTAGCATCATGCCGGGCCGATGTTGAGCACCATAGTACATTCTAAAAGATTACACAAAAGTGCTGCCTAAATCATTCATCCCTTAAATCTCTAGAGTAACAGAGATGGTTGTCTGCAGATAGTTTAACAAAAAAAAAATCATTATGAAAAAAAAAATCATGGCAGCAGATTCCATGATGAGAAAGGAAAGTGCAAGGGTTAAAAAAATGAAGTTAATGGGCTTCCTAATGGCCCTGACTATAATGATATTGCTTCTCCAAGCATTCTTTTTAAACCGGGTATATGAAAAGAAGAGAAAAATGTTTCCCTGCTCATGTGTTTAAAATATTGCAATAATTGAAAGGATAACATGAATAATGACATCATGCGTGTGTGTATATGAGATGTTATAATTATGGTGGGAAAATTCAACTGATAAAGGTGTCGGGAGATATTTTTTTGCTGGGGTTCAGTCGAATGTGGTCCAAAGTTTTGAAAGGAGAGCAAGCAAGGGAACAGACAAATTATACTAAAAGGAAGTTGATGCTATCATTTTGTATTAGTGTCTCAAGGTCATTGTAACCATGCTTTCATTGAACCATCCAATTCTTTATATAAAACCTTTTCATTGTCAAGATTTTCCTCACTTAAGCTTATCAGTGATATATAACTTACATGAAGGGTAGAGTCATATCATGAAGATGCAAGTCTGAGAGTACAAGTTTCCTGCAAAGAAGAGTTAACTGTGTATCACTAGTTCAAAGTTCACCTTCTCAGAAGCCAAGTAGATCACTGATGGAGAAGATTGTTAGGTCCTGTGACAAAGAATACATGAGGATGGCCATGTTAAAACACGAAGAAACTTTCAAAGAGCAGGTACTTCTCTTTCTATTCCTTATGGATATTCTTCCTCAATTTCAGGATTTAGAGCCTTAAAGTCCTTAGAGTTTCTTTTACAGGTATATGAACTTCATCGTTTGTATCGGATTCAGAAGTTACTAATGCAAAATATGGAAGCTAGAAGAGGCGTTGAAGTAAGAGAAGAAGAATGGTTTTTCAAGAATGCGATTAGTTTAACTCATAAAGGTGCACAAGAAAAGCCTCAAATGAAATTTGACCTTGAACAGCCTGCAGAAGAGCACATTGCAGAATCAGAAAATGGGGTGGTAGAGGTCATAGATGAGAGTGAGATTGAGCTGACATTAGGCCCCTCAAGTTACAACCGTAGGAAGAAAGTCGAGACATCACTAACATCAGATTCAGGACACAGCTTGTCTTCTTCTACTAGTGGATCCAGCCACATAAACAAGACAAGATGTCATGGCAGTCGCAAAACAAGAGAAGACTCAAGTGGAAGCATAATACGCCTTGTCCAGGTGCCCGGTTCAACCCCGGGGTGCCAAAGTGGAATTAGAAACAATTTTGATATTGAAGAACAATTAAGACAAGAGAGATTAAAACAGTCACCTTGGCTTTTTCAAGTGTTGAATCTGAACATGACTTGAAAAGAAAAAAGAAAAAAAATCTAAGGTTAATGTGATATATTTAAGTTTGTGTTTTATGAGTTAAGACTAACTTTGTGGATGATGTTTGTGTTGAATGTTCAGCCAAATTATTGAATGTGGTGGGATTTGATATGTCTATCATGAGATCACTTTTTTCCCTGGCAACCAAACCCATTACTGTTCACAAGTCACATGCCACTGATATTTCTTTGCAGTAACTCACATTCCTTGACACTAAAAGACATAAAATCATCCTTTCATACATTGCGGAGTACAACTATATGTAGAGCTTAGTAAAATCAGCAGTTTAACACTTTCTGTGAAAGTGTTTCATTTTAATTAGAAGCCCACCATCCAAGTCATTCTTTCAACAAAGAAATTTTATTGTCCATAATATGACAAAAAGCTTGTCTATATTCCTAACAAAGTGAATCGTTTCTCCCTACAGATCTCACGAAAGCAACTGAACCCAATATATCGTGTTCTTGAAGGAGTAGGCGTTCAAACCTCCAATGAGTGTGAATGGGTGGTTCTTTGCAGCCGGCATAAAAGCGATTTAATTTTTGGGTGGGAGATTAGTGATGGAAATCTTACTTTTACAGGTGATAAGACCAAGATAATATATATATAAAAAAAAGTTAATCACCTATATACTGCCAGTATAAAGATTTTTTATATTGACAACCAATTATATCTCTTAATTGTATCATATCACTGTAAACACATTTATTTTTAACAGTGACATAGCACAATTAAGAGATATAATTGGTTGCCAGTATAAAAAAACTTTACACTAAGAGTGTACGAGTGATTAACTCATAAAAAAATATATATAATTAGGGGTAACAATTAAGTATGCAGTGAAAGATTCCCTTTCCAAATTCAAATGTATGGATAAGCATTTGTATCTTAAATGAATTTCAAGACTCGAGAGATTAGTTATTGGTTTCTAAATAGGATACACTAAATTTATTGGATACACCAAAAGAGGAAAATGAATATTAAGCACGAAAATTATTCTGTGAATGAAATACGAATATTATGAATATTAAAGAAGGACAAAAATGAACTATAGTATTCTTGTGATTTGTTTATAAGTTTACATCATTTGATAATCAAAACTAAGGTAGTTTATAAATATCTTTCTCTCTTAAATCATTGAGATATTTTTTCAAGGTTGCATTTTTAATAAGATAACAGTACCATACTACCTATGATATTATATCTAAATTTTGTCCTAAATTTTATGGATGGATTTTATTGTTTCTATGTGAATGGTTGTGCAATATCTTCATTTCTCATTTTAAAATTATGTAATTTTCACTGTCTCAAAAAGAGCTTAAAGATAATTCCTGAGATAATTTATGAGCCAAGTCTAAATCCAAATTATGTGAATGGTTGTGCAATATCTTCATTTGCTATTTTAAAATTCTGTAATTTTCACTATCTAAAAAAAACTTGGATAATTCCTGAGATAATTTTTGAGCTAAATCTAAATCCAAATTATAAAATATTATTAGGACTTTATCATAAAAGTTGTTATTGGATCTATTAGAGCATATATTCAAAGGGGTAACTCTCACCGGTTAGCTTTTTAAGATTGAAAACAAACCCAAATTCAAATTATAAGAATTAATCAATGCATTAGGGATTCATTTGATAATATTGTTATTTTACTTCCCTAATCACATAAGTTGGTAGACAATTTTCTATTCCTCCCATTGTAATTCATTTTCCATCCATCATTCACTTAATAGCCAACAAGAAGTTGGAGATTAGTTCCTGTCTGCCATCAGCTGGACAGCAGATTCTCCAGCTAATATTTAAACATCTTTTAACAAGTTTAGGTTAGGTCTATCCCAAAATGTATATAACTTATAACTACATTTAATGCCTTTAGAATGTGCATGAATCAAACCCAAACCATGATCTCTTTTCTTGTTAGATGATTAGGCTCAGACATCAACACGGACACTGCTAGGCTGTCACTTGAACCATATTACCTTTCCAAAAGCATTTTTTCCCCCAAAGGACTCAATAATTCAAAGACAGACCCCACTAACTGCTGTTACCAGATGTTGTATTCTTCCAGGGATCTTATGGTCGTTGGAAAGATGCAGTGTCTGTGTCGCTGTACTGTTACAAGTTGACCCGCCTAATGTCCATCAACACATTCATAAATCTGATAAAGTTGTACTTTCCTCATATTTACACTGATAACCCTTGATTCATTTTTCTTTCTGATTTTCTTCCTGGGATGTAGAATTTGTAAGCAAAAAAGGGATTCTTTCCGTTCCTCTCTTTCTCCTTGATCACAGACACAGAATTATTAATTGGTTGAAGTATTCACTTGGTTATCTCAATTCTGTCCCTAAACAGTTTTTTGTAGTGACATAATGCAACAGTACTAACAATAACTAATCATAACAAACTAACTAGCTGATTAACTCAGAGAAATTTCCTCACATAATAACATTTGACCTTATAAATATTTGAATTTTCAGCAAAAAAGCTATGCACTTTTAGAAACGACAGAATAAAATGAAATTTCACATCACTACCTTGCCAAATTAAGCTTTCATTTGTTGTTTGAAAGAACAGATGCTGTCATGTAAGATTTGGTACTGATTTATATTTTATGCACATGGCTTGGTTGAGCATTATTGATGTCGTCTCCAGTATATGCATCGCAATCAGAAACCGTCTATTACTTATTACCATTTGCCACCCTTTACAAATTACATAGTAAGGATCATGAAAATATAATCTAACACATGAAGTAAAACTAAGCCTCTGAAAACAAAGATAGAACTGGATACTGCACACAATGGTCTTAGGATATGGAATGGCGTCGATTCTTATCAGGCTTTACGCGACCTTTGAGAGGGGTTGCGTTAGCACCGCCACGTGGGAAAGGAGAAAGACGCCCTAGCTTTTTGGACACTGAGTTCATGAATGATTTTCGAGGCAGAGGAGGCTTATCAGAGGAGGGTGAAGAAGCATATATCACAGGACTACTTGATGCTGATCTAATTGAAGTTCTCTCAATCTCTTTTAGTTTCATTTTCAGTTTCACTATCTCTAGCTTCAGGTCTTCGTTTTCTCTTCGTAAGATGGAGACCTCGTTGGACACGGGATTAGCCTTGTCGCGAAACTTTGAAGAATCCCAACCTACAGTGTTGTCGTCCATGGAATCGCGAAGACGTTGCTGTTCGTAGGAGAGAACTTGAACCACCGTTTGCACGGGAAGCCTGTCGTTTTGAGCAGCGTGTGCACATGCCTCACGTGATAACTTCTGGCAGTCCATCACGCTGCACACTTTCTTCTTCTCCATGTCGCTCAGAATAGGATGAGCCTGACAATTGTGAATTTCTACTTTATCAGCAGCGATTCATGATATAAGATGAATATTACAGTTCAATAACAAAACTACTGTATGTTTCTATGTGGCAGACGAACTATGGTAACATCAAAATCTAAGCTAGTTCAAATGTGGTGAAGCCTGAGTTTATGTGCTTTGTAGAAGACAGAAATATAATGTTGGTTTGAAAAGTACTATAATGTGATTGTGAGTGACTTTTTTAACAAAAAATGAAATCATATTTCCCAGTTCCAACCCCTTCCATGTTCCTCCAATTATAAAAAATAAAATAAAAAAGTCATTATGAAAATAAATTTTTAATTAGAGAAACAGAAAAGGAGGCATTAAAGAGAGACATCAGACAGCTGATCTGACTTCAACATGAAAGTTGGATTTCATTCTCCTAAAGTGATTAAGGATAAAGTAAGTAATCTTATCTTAGTGCGTATTTTGAAACTGATCATGGATATGGCTTTTCATATTAAAATGAATGCTATTATCAAATATTATTAGTACAATTCGTTTGACATTTGTGTTTCTTAAGTAAGGACTGAAATATAATTTCTGGCTTAAATATGAAATTACAATTAGAGGTGTCACTATATTTCTATAGGAATCAATTTTGTGAGAAAGAATTATATCTTCTTATTAAAAAAAAATGTTGCTAGTTTTAGTTCTTATTAATAGTTAAAGATATCAAAAACTAATATTTCAAAGTATCTATGCTTTATCATCCAAATGCTTGTAATATCAATAGTTGATTTTCTTATCATGACTTAGATTAAGAAGTATAAAAGTTATATCAACAGGAAGAAATAAGTTTCTATTAAGATATAAAAGTTATAGTACAAGTTAGAACCTTACCTTAAGATAGATGTCTATGGCTCTATACATCCCATCTTCTGTTGATCTTGATTGTTCAGGAATTAGTTCAGCAAGAGTGATGAATTTCGAAACAGCTAAATTTCTGTCGGTGGCTATTTCAGCAAGGTAGTTCTCCATTAACTTTCCAACCCGATAAATGTCACTTTGGGGAGGAGAAAAGTACTCATCATCTGCACTATAGGGTGAATGGTTTTCATTTTGAGATTGCTGGTAATTCATGATGATTCGATGCACTGTATCTACATCGAACAATGTGTCCCCGGTGAAGGAATAAGAAGGAATGAGAAGATCATCTAAAACGGCTTGTCCTAACTGCAGGGCCATCCTCTTTTCCAAATCAAGCCTGCATGCAATGGTTGTCTCGAGATATATTGCTGCCCGAAGCAACATGGAAAGAAAGCTCACTGACATTGCATTCTTCTCCCTTGGCAGAAGGCTCACTAGTGTCTCTAAAACTACCCTCTTCTCGTGCACTTCTTGTGCTTCAACTTCAATCTTCTTCCTACCCCTTCCAAATATCTCCTGCTCCACCATAAACAGTGTCACAGGATTCACGGATTCAGTGTGTAGTTTGATTAATTCAGAAATATTATTTCATTAACGCATTATATTTATAATTAACTATTAGTAAAAATGATAAGTTTTTACTTTTTTTGAAAATCTGAAATTGGAACCAATAATACCAAATTCAAATTTAAGATACTGGATGTATTACCCTAATCCTCCACCATTAGGCCAAATATAGTGGTTCATACATGCAATCACTAATGTTTATTAATAAGGGTTTATAGAGATTTTTTTCCTTTTACGAAGAGACTTCCTTTTTATCCATAAAAATTATAAAAATTGTAACATAGTTTACACCTAATATCCTGTAAATATTAACCCAATCCCATGTGAAGAAACTATATGGTCATTCACGTATTTGTATGAAAAAAGCTTTTCTTCAAATTCTTAAACCATTTTTTTTATCACAAAATTACTCTTTTTTCTAGAGACAAGGTCAATATATAAAACCACACTTATTTGTATGTTTTCCAACATTCGGTGAGGGGTCTTAGTCTTACCAAACCTCGTAGAGATTTCTGTGCATAGAGCATTATGACAGGACCAAGAGCATACTGTTTAAACCCTCGTGCCATCATTGCAATTAGAACTCTTTGGAATATGTCAATTCGGAGAACTGTGAGATCTTCAGCCCACCAATGAACCACTGGCCTTTGGTTAGAAGCCATGCCATCACTGCTAATGTCACTTCTCATAGATGAACACAATTGACTCTCCTTGGAAGCTATGAACGCAATAGCATCTATGCATCGACTCAACAATTTTGTTTTCTCTGCAATTGGAAGGAGGCGTTCTGACACGTGTAAGATAGACACAGCCCCTGAAATAGTCTTGAGTGCCACTTCATTCAAATACGAATCGGCCCTTCCCACCAAATTTCCAACACAATAATCCTCTGTCATCTCAAGATACTCTGCCACGCACAGAAGCATGGCAATGTTTTCAACACTTATTTCGAAGTTTACCCCGTAGCAGAACTTTGTTACAAGTTCAAATGCTTCTGCTCCACCAGGGACATCGTAGAGTTCAATGAATGAAGAACCATCATCATCCTTGCATTCTGACACGAGTTTCCCTATGTATCCACTCTTGGAAACTAATGGAAACTGCAAATTACATTACAAGATATAAAATATAGTTTAATAACTATTGACACCCAAATTAACAATTCATAATCTAAGTTTTATGTTTGTAGATATATAGCATAGAATTGGCTCAAAAGTATTAATCAAGTATGATGTGTCATTCAACAATTGCCTAGAATTAGAATTTGTTACTCACCATTTAATGATCCTAAGATTAGTAAGTTTGATATGCAGCTAAAAGGATTTGAGTTGGTTCACTACCTTATGTAACGAAAAGGAAACTTCACCAACTTGAACAGTGATATCACTAGGAACCTCATGAGAAAAAGCCCTGCAATTAAGTAGTTCAAGTCACGGGTTTGCAATAATTTTCTTCATATCCAATTGTCGTAAGAGCCACCAAAGAATGAGTTTTAGGAGATCAGAAGCATACCATTGATCATTTGTTCTCTTCATGACACTAGAAGAAAGAAAAAACTCGTAACTCTTTCAGAGACAAGTCACTAGCAGCTGGCGTAGATTTCTCTTGTCAGCATCGACCATGTCAGAGACAGATTTATAGCTCACTATAAAGGTAGGAAAAACATTTAGACAGTGAAAAGCTCTTATGTATTTCTTCGGGGCAAAAGGGTATAGAAGAAGAGTGCTTACTTTATAATATCCCTTTGAAAATTTATTGGAATAATGAGAAGCTCCATGGTGAACTGAACGAACTAGGAGAGTTAGGAGCGAAGCACATCAAAAGTTTATGAAATTCCAAAGTAGGGTCTTGTTGCATGCAAGAAAATCAAGGCTAGTGAGGGTACCTCGAGGAATATGTTATATGAGTGGTACTATGGACGTTATGAGTTGGAGGAGGGGCAAAATATAATTAAGCGTTGAGATGTGTTTGTGGTGTGTGGTGTGTGCTTTATGTGAGTGAGTGTAAAGGATGAGATTGTTGCATGTTTGTTGGCATCTATCGGTGTCTGCACTTTTTTCTCCCCATGGAAAATCTATATAACTGGTAGATAATAGTTCAATCCTTAGGCGTGTCTGAGAAATATTAATTTGTTTAAAAAGGTAAATTTATTTTAGTGACTTTTACTTCTTCAGAGAGATTAGTCTTCACCTTCATTCAGGATATCCTGGTAGTTGTACAAACACAACTTGTAACTAAAAAAGTATTACTGTGACTTACGATAAATAAAAATAAAAATAAAAAAACAGAAAATTATTGCCTACAAGAGTACATCAAAGAACATTGTGCTACACTGAAATGCAAAAATAAACATACATGGTGATCCCAACTTGTCAAAACCGGCCAAAGGAGAAAATGGTTGAAGTTAACGACCATGATGAATAAGACATCACATCCCAGGCCAATTTTTTTTTTTTTTTTTATCTGATGTTGATTCTAATTCAACACCAATTCTCGTTGACAACTACTCTTGTATTATTTTCTTTCTAGTGTGGATTTGATACACAAAATTTAGCATAAAATTGGAGATTGAAATTATAATTGGGCCTTAAAATTTTAATCATATGATATCCTTTTAGAATTAAAATTAGATTTCAAAAATCAAAATCCATATAAGTATCTACAATTAAAATTGAGCTCGGAAAATATGATTTCCTACTCTTTGTAATAATTAATGACCTCAGCTCATTATATAATTGATCTTCTTATTTTTACTATCACTATTATTATTGACAAAATGGGTTTGATATTTAGTTAGTCCATGCAACCTAATCTGTCAGTTTGTTCGGTTTGTCCTAATTTATCATATCAAAAAACAGGCTTGCAATAAAATGCATGGGGCGAGCCATCCGTCGAGTTAATTTTCTTTTTTTTTTTAAAAATTAGATAAAAGATAATAAAAAGTTAGTGTAGGGTTTTAGTTTACGTCCCATTTTAGCATGAAAGTGGTGTTATATTTAATACCTAAAATTATAGGTTAGGAAATTAGCAATGGACATATCTCATTTGACAGTTATTTTTTTTTTCTTTTCTGTTTTTGTTATTAGTATTGGAGACAAAACAGCTGGGTGTAGTTACACAAGTAAAAGACATAATAGAAGCCTATTTTTAATTTTTTTAGTTTTTCTTTTTTAATTTTCCTTTTTCCTTTTCTTTTTTGGGTGGATTTGCCCCTGCCAAACTAGCCACAAACGAGGCAAGCTACATTTTTAACTCACATACTCTAAACGGACCAAGTTGGCCAACTTTTTTTTTTTTTTTTTTTTTGCAAGTTGATGGCATAGGATGGAGTGGGTTGACCGTTTTGTCCCTCATTATTATTGTTATTCAATTATTATCATTTTTATTAACATAACTTATTAATTATTAATATTTATGGATCAATTTTTTTTTTACTATTATCAATCTTTTAAATTTTTTATCATTATTATTATTATTACTATTACTCTTATCGTTCTGATTTCTATTATTATCATCTTTAGATTCTATTATTATTATTATTATTATTATTCATCCTTTTTATTTTATTTTTATTCAAATTCAACTTAACCTAGCTCACCCATAATTACCCATAATTAGGTTTACAAATGAAATTATAATTTAGTTAAAAATTATAATTTTATGCTCTAATTGTTTGTACAACTCAACATAAAAATCATCATCCAAAACCAATATCGATTATATCAATCAATAATTTCAATTCATGATAAATTAACAAATTATTAATCTATTAACAATTATATAATTTTATCATTACAAATATAAATTCTTATGAAGTATTAATAACTTGTTAAAAATAAAATTACACACTCTATTTTTATATTTACTAATATATATTAAACACTTATTGACTATGTATTGTATACTTGAACTAAATTTATTAATTTGTGAAAGAATTTGTCATAATTTAGGAAGATCATCAATCTCCCTTGACCATCTTTTTATGGAAAAAGTTATTAAGTAATTTTAGACCACATGATTCCTAATAAATTTTTACACGTATTATTAATTTCTTCTTTTAAACTAAAAAATATAAATACATGTTATATAATAATTGATTGAGATCATAATTATATAGTGATCATCATGTACTATGTAATATATATTTTTTTTTTGTTTAGATAGATATAAAACATTTCCAAGCATTGACACCTGGGTGATGTTATAGAGGCGGTGGTATGATACTGTGGGCAAGAATCAGTGCTAGCTCCCAGATCCCAAAATAATGAACTTAGGTCATGTACCCATCGAAGGCATTTTCTATGATCTTGTTCCCTCATCGTATAATAAGTCAATAACGGTCCCTTTTTGAATGCAGACTAATCATGAGACAGAAAGATGATTCATGTAAATCCATATCAGTACCAAATGACTTCTCCATGGACCTTTCCCTTCGAATGGCTATCCAAATAATTAATGTAACACATAAATCTTATGGCCATCCGATAAATTAGAGGATACCCTACAACACCTTCATTGCTATTATTTTCGTTTCAAATTGATCAATCCACTGCCTCTGATACTTTGTTAAGCACTAAGCAACAAATCAAAATAAAAAAACATAAACGACCTGAGTGCATGCCTTAAAGTAGCTGGTCATGCTTGTCGGATTGCTTGCATGATGTGTGAGATCTAAATTAATAGTCTCAGCAATCAGTAATATGGGTTTTCCACATATATCTTAAATCAGAGACAATTGTATTTAAGATATGATATTGTATTTAAGGTAGGGTGAAACACACCGGTGGTTAATTTGATACTTTCTAAATCAATACTTGTAAAATAATATTTAATAAAATATGTTTCACGAACATAAATTATTTTATGATTATTGATCATGTTCACGAAAATGTGGGTGGGGTGAAAAACTAAATATGTGAATACCTTTCCCAAAAAGAAAAAAAAAACATGAAGTTTAAATTGATTATGTTATGGAGCTGATAAAAAAGAAAAAATGATTATATATGTTGCGGAAGAATAGCTCTCTTTGTTAGAGTCGACCCTTTGATAATGGTGTCGGTAATACACCAAGTGGCCAGACCAACAGAAACATTATTTTGTTAGCTCTAATTTTATGCAAGAAATTGTCTTCTTTCATACCAATAAACAATAAAAGAAATCAATTAAAAAAACAGATGGCTTAATGGGTTCCAAGATGAATGACTTGGATATTATTTATTATATTATAAATTGTCACTTAAATAATTTTTTGACAAGCATTAAAAAATAATTTATTAGAATCTCACTCTTTTAAAATGGGTAATTTATTAATTTATTAAAGAAAGTAAAGTAAATAATTTTAGTAGTTATTATTTTATCTTGAATATGTTTTGATTTTGGTTCCTATAAATATTTTTTCTCCCCTCTAAATTTTGAAAATTATTATTTTTAATTAATATGTTTATTAAAAATTTATGTGATCATTTTAAGTGACATTTACAATTGTTTATGATACTTTATTTACATGTGTTACCTCTATTTTTTATATAAATTCTTAAAATAAGTGTTATATATACTTCAAAATAGTCATTAGGGTCTAAGAAAAAAAAATAATGACATTAAATTTTAAGAGAGATAAAAATAAAAATAAAAATAAATACAGATATCAAAGTCAAAATTTATCTATTTTACAAAGGTAAAAAATAATGTTTACAAATTTTAGAAAGATAAAAAATAAAGAAAAATTATTATTATAACTAAAATCAAAATTTATTCATTTTACAATGATTAAAAAGATATTTAAACTTATTATTTTTATTAACAAGATTGAAAAATCAAATTATTACTTGTATTTTAAATTTGGTCTCCGTAATTTTATACACCTTGAATAAAATATATAACTTTTTGTGATAAAGTATGTTAGCTTAACAAATAATTATCCTTTCAAAACAATGAAAAAAAATTGGTTAAATTAAAATATTAGTCTTTATAGGCGCGATTCTTAATTTTATTTTAACTTCTATATAAAAATAATAATAATAGTAATAATTTGGTCTTAAATATAAAAACAAATTCTCAAATAAATCTTTGTGACTTATAATTATTGTAATTATATAATATGAACTACACATCTAGCTTATTTGTCTAACAGATTATATTGTATCTCTGTTAAATTAAAGTTTGTGTCCTTATCATGACGCTACCTTTTATTAATATAGTCTTACATGAACCCGTTTTAAAATAAATCTGTATAAATTATTCTCAACTTGATGTTCTATCGTTCATAATTGAGTAAAATTACAGTATCCAAATTACATGCAAATGGACAGACTAATCCTCAAAATAAACATTACTTGCATTTTTACTTAAGCATCATTGAATTTTTATGTGTTTACAATGATAGATATTAAATAGAATATGTTTATTTTTCAATTGATTACTTATCTATATTATAAAACAAATATACAAACGATTTTGGTTTCAATAAATTTTATTATCTTATGTGTTTTTTTATCCATATTAATGTAATGTGTGGTTGTTGATATGAATTTTATAATTACGATAACAAATCAAATATATAATATTAATTGATATGAAAAATAAAATAGTATTTTTTTATATTTAGTTAATTTATATACTATAAAGAAAATACTGGTTAATATATAAATATTATTTTTTCTATATATACTTGTTTACTTGAATAGCAAAAGCCAAAAGATCAATGAAATAGTTGATAAAAACAAACAAACAAAACTACTCCCACTTTCCTTACTTGAGGAGAAATTATTTTTATTGTGAGTCTCATAAATTAATTTTTTTCTTAATTAACATTTACTTTATGTTTGATATTTTTTTATGCAAACCTACATAATAATAGATAAGGTAAATAATATGTAATCTCATTAAAAAAAATTTAAAGAGGTGGATGATTGATTCTAATATTACAAGAGATCATGTCTTGCCTTAAAAAAACATTCACTCAA